TTTTTCCCCAAAAATAACTATGCTGCTATAATTATTTAGAGTTTTCTGGACTAAGAAAGGTCCTGTTTTTCACTTCCTGTATCCACAATCTGCTTTAGCATTCTGAAACCCAAGACACCAATTTCTTGTTTTCCATCTAAATTTACCTTGAATCCTAAATATTCAAGGTAAAATATCCTCTAAAAGAAAAAGGACCTTGAGCTGAAGAGATGACTCAGGGGTTAAGAGCACTGACTTGCTCTTGCAGAGGACCCGGGTTCGATTCCCAGCACCCACATGGCGGTTCTGAACAACTCCAGTTCTAGGGGAATCCAAAACCCTCTTCTGACCTCCACGGCATTACGTCACGGGTGCACTCACATACATGCAGGCAATATACTCATGCACATAAAATAAAAATAATAAAATATTTTTAAAAAAGAAAAAGGACCTTAAAATGGAAAACTAAAGCTTCTCTTTTAACATTTCTCTCCATAACTTTTTCAAGAGACTCACCAGACTCTATCACCTTGTCTTCTTGCTTATCTTTTTTAATCTTAAATAATTTTAATCTAATATAAATTAATAGAAAAATGTAATTCAAATAAACCAAGTGACCCCTTTCATAGTAGAACAAAGTCTAAATGATTTACTTTTACAGTATATTTACATGGTGGCTTCCCTGTAAATAATAGTATTGAATTACTACAGGCATATATGGCAATACTAAGCTACTAATTAATTTACAGAGGAAAAAAAGCAATGTCCAATAATTAAGCTAGATTCATGTATTTGCTACCTTGCTCATACTAGTGCTAGGAAAGTAAACAGCCACCTGTAGTAAGTCGTTCTAAGTCCTTGAAAGGAAATCTGGGTACTATCAATCAAAATATTCTCGCTAACATTGGGTGATTCTGTGTATTTAATCAGTTTGTCTCAGTTTGCCTTAATTTTTATCACAAGAAGAAGAAATATGGCAAAGAAAAAATTCTGACACACCTTTGTGCATACTTAAACTACCATATATCCAATAAATACCAACCACCCCAGTATTTCCCTTCTGGAACTCCTAGATTATTATATTCCTTTTTAGAGTCAACTTCCTTCTCCATTCAAAACAATTCAGTTATTTAGAAAATACTAAAAGAACCAAGTCAACTATAAGAAAGAGGGAGGAAAAAAGAGACAGTTAAAAACTGATGATGAGAGGCTAGGAATGTAGCTCAGCGGCAAAGGATGTTCATAGGATGCACAATGGCCCCAGGCTTTATCTCCAGAACCACCACCAAAAAAAAAAAAAAAAAAAAAAAAAAAATTAAAAACAGTCAGGCAAGGTGGCACATGCTTATAATCAATTCTAGCACGAGGGATACAGGGATAGAGGGATCAAAAGTCCAATGTCAACCTGAGCCACATAAGGAGACCCTGTTTCAATCAATCAATCAATCAATCAATCAATAAACAAATGGAAACAGAAATAATAGATTACAGTTTAACGATCTTGGTAAATTTCTATAATAAAGATACAGATCTGCCAGGCATGGTGGCACACGTCTTTAATCCCAGCACTCGGGAGGCAGAGGCAGGCAGATCCTCTGTGAATTCTGGGCCAGCCTGGTCTACAGAGTGAGTTCCAGGCAGCTGGAGCTACAGCTTAAAAAAAAAAAAAAAAAAAAAAAAAAAAAAAAAAAAAAAAGACACAGATCAAATTGGGCTTACAAGTAAAATAGTCTAAAATGAACTATCAATCAATACAAACTCAGAGCAGGTATTTATTTATTCAATTCAGAGAAGGTCTGTATTTGAATTTATTGAATATTCTAAAATTTTAAGCCATAATCAGTGCATTCAATTTCCACAATATCAAGAAGTGTATAAGATAAGATAGTATTTGGTTATATGTGATGTATGATTCACAGTATAATCAGAAAAGGTGGGGAGAATGGTATAAATAGTTTGGCAGGAAAGAGAAAATAATGATCAGAACTGTGAGAAGTAATGCTCCATTTCTTATGAAGTCATATGAGGATTGTGGGCTACACTGTTATTCTTTGTAGTTTATTCATTTTTTATAAGTATTTCATATGTAGTCAATATATGAAACAATGTTTAAGTGTTAAGAAAAAACTGAGCAAATCTTTACTAATGGAAGAGTTAAATGTTCATAAGGACCACCTAACCCATTTTGCTAACTACATTTTTAAATAAATAGAGATCATAAAATGCAAGTAGGCAGGGATAATAATAATAATTCCCCCTTGATTTTCCAAGTAAAATTAGCAATAAAGGTTTACTGGTGCTTTTAAAGAAACGGGGTGTGTGTCTGTGTGTCTCTGTGTCTGTGTGTGAGTGTGTGTCCATATCAAACTATCTGAAAGTAACTCTTTACTTCTAAAGATCCTTCCCAAACCAAACACTACTATAAATATGTCATTGACCACATGAAATGTGCTAATACACTTCTACTTGTAATTTTAGAAATAAATTGAAAAGCAAATCCTAAATGGAAATATTCTACCATATCTACTCTGCATACATATAGACTTAACATACATGTGAGTTCTGCTAGGCTGTCCACATCTACAGTCTTTGCTTTATGATGGGTATGTGCATTTTAAGTATGCTTTGTCAATACTAATATGGAGGGGCAATACAGCACACTTGTAAAGAACAGAGTTTGGAGCCAGAGTTCCTAAATTGAAATTCTTCCATTTCTTAGCTATGTAATCTTTGGCAAGTTATTTGATCTGTTTCCATTTCTCATGGGTAAAATGGAAATAACAGTATGTACCTCCTAGGACTTTGGAATTGATTTAAATAATGTACAAGACTGGACACAAGATAAGTGCTATATAAGCTATAACTACTAGTAATAACAGAATCCCATGTTTCTGAACATACTGAAAGCATTCTTAGCTATTTGAATTATTGACTAATATCAGATACTATTTTAAGCGGACATCAAATCTAAGACCTGATAAACTACATTTGTAGCTCTGGACTCTTAAGGAAACAAGTGATTAATAAACCTACATAGCCATTCCAAAGATAAAGAACATTCTGAAAGGACTGGTTTCCCAAAGTACAGCTATCAATTTCTTCCCTTACACAAGGGGGCAGTGATAACAAGGAAAGAACAGGCCTCTGCAACACCTCTTCCTACAGACAGTAGGGGGTGGCAGTACATACGGCTTACAGTCAGAACAAAACAGGAAGATCCAACAGAACTGCTCTTTATTCTCTGGCCCTCTCCTCTCTTCCTTAGCCTCCACAGAACCCCAAGGTAAGGGAAACAGCTACGGAAAAGACGAAAGCTCAAAATTAATCAAAGGAAACCCAATTTTCTTTCTGAAGGAAATGATCCTTCTGTGGCTGAATCTGGAACTAGGGGGAAGCCAATCAGTATGAATTTTCAGATTATCTGGCAAATTACTATAATAAGAACAACATTCAAGCAAGTAATTCAATTTATAAGAATTCTAACATGACACACAAAAATTTCATCCATAATCAGATATATCCTAATGAACACATTCATCTATTTCTGTTTTTGTTTCAGTTATACAGACACTCATTGTATATACACGTTATATTAAATAGCTCATCGAGCTGTCTTTTGTTACTTTTGAAATTCCAGCTATGTTCTGACAGTCCTCTCAAAACACAGATGTTCTTAAATGGAAGTCAGTGTCTTGCAGCATGTGGGTAATTTCATATATGTGCATGCACGCGCGCGCGTGCGTGTGCACACACACATCTAGAGGAAGAGAAAGATGGGGGTGGAGGGGGCAAGGAAGAGAGACAGGGAATATCTGTTTCAGATTTGTGCCCACATTCCTAGGATGATTTACCTGGGAAGCAGCACTCTTTGACAGTATCCATGTTGTTGCTTTTTATGCCAATTTACTGTATTCCGTTTTTATCTTATTTCCCCATCCCGACACCCAGACCATACAAGAATAGTTCACTACTGCCATTCTCTGTAATTAACCATTGCCATAGCATTCCAGCCTTCAGAATGCCTGAAAATTTATCCCTTTTGTTCACCATATTGTTTTGTTTTCCTCATCCCAGTTATTTTTCACCTGTGTAAAAAATCAAACCACATATGAAAAATATTTCCCTTTGCTTAACAATCTTGAACTCACAATTATGCTCAAGAGGCTTGCTTGCTTGGTTTGTCTTTTTGTTTGTGGGTAGGTTTTGTTTTGTAGGGTTTTTTTTTTTTTTTTTTTTTTCCCTTTTCCTGGAGAGGAGCAGAAAAGGAGTCAAAGACACCCCATACATCCAATCTTCTTCCTAATGCTAATTATCATTGTTTATGTTTTGTGGGCAACATTTTAAACATTCCACACCTGGAACAGAAAGCCAGGATACAATTGCATAGGTGCTGTGCACGCTGATGACAGAACCTAAAATGATTTTAGCCCTATTTTTTTTCTTTCCTATCTCACAACCAATCTGCCCTTTTTTTTTGCTTTCACGTGGGTACTTTCCCTATGTCAAAAAACAGCTTATCACAGCTCCTCTCGATCTCTTATGACAGAATATCTAACAATGAGCCCTATTAGTCTTTCATTATATTACATTTCCTTCCCCAAAGGAATTATTAATATCCCTAAATAACACTTCTATCATGCATTTCTCCGCCAAGGAGGCCAGTCCATCCCGTGCCTTCACCTGGCACATTTCACTACTTTTCTGCTGCATTCAGGGGCACATTTTGCAACTCGTTCTGCACCACATTCCCTGCCACGTTTAGCAATCTGCCTCGCATCTCATCCCGCTGCCCGACATCCAAACATTCTCCAGGTACCAGTTCCACTGGTGACAGCCAAGTGGCCGGCCGCGGACCCATCTGAAGCCACCCAGAGTCCCACGCTGGGAGGCAGCCTTCCTTCCCCACGCATAGGGACCGCGCTGCCCGCTCCGCGTTAGCCCCTCTTGCCCCCGCCCCAATCCCGTACCGGAGGCGTCGGAGGCGGACGCCCGTCACCCGAGCCACCCTCCCGGCCCCTCACCTGCCGCTCGGAGGGGCGCGCCGCACCTCAGGGTCCAGTCGGAGTCCCGGGGGTCTCCTGTGAGGACCGTGCCGCCCGCCCGCTCGCGACTCCCGCAGCACGTCGCGAGCCCTCGGACGCCTCCCGGAGGCTCGGCGTTCGGCTCCGGCACGGCGGGGCCTCTCGGCGCTCCTCCTGTCAGCTCGGCTAGGGGCCCGGCTCTCGCCCCTCAGCACCGAGGCTGCGGCGGCCGGCGCCTCTCTCCGCCTCGCGCGCGGCACAGTCGGAGGTGAGCCGAGGGGGATGGGAACGGGGGCGGGGCCGCCCGAGGAGGCGCGGAGGGCGGCGGCGGCGGGAGGGCAGCGCCGGCCGCCC